GCGCAATAGTGAGCATCATGCTGCCTAGCTCCCCGGATCACACTGTGTTTCCCTGAGGCCCAACTTTGGACATTCTTTACCCACCCTGTACTTTCCTTTGGGTGGAGGCATCTGTGAGGCATGTACTTGCAGAGAGAAGGCAGGGCTAATTGCAGTCAATTGTCTTCTTTCTACATAGTCCACTTCTGTTTACAGAATCTTATGATCCAGGGAGCAGCATCTTTGAATTTTTTTAAGTTAGCATATGTTTTTAAAAGAAACCTATCTAGACTGAGGTCAGCATTCCTTTCAGTTATGAAACTGCATATTATGTTCTGATGTGGAATGAAGGCGGCCACTGTTTTTAAACAAAAATAACTACACTTGTCATCTTCTCACAGTTTGAGAAATTCAGAAGCAAAGAGCAAAGAGGTTGTGGTTGCCTTAGTGATCATGAAGGGCGCAACATAGGACACATAAATATTTCCTATGGCAATGGTTTTAATCTGATGTCATTGCCAAGTATGACACTCTCTCATGCACTGACATTTTTATGTGTGCAGACTCTTTCATAGGCCAGGCCAACCCTCTGGTTGATAGCTCTGTCTTCAGTGCTTTGAGAAAATGTAGTTGGAGGACCCCCGTGGATACCAAAATCCATAGAAGCTGAAGTCCCTTATATAAAATAGCATAGTGTTTGCATATAACCTACATATACTTTAAATCATATGTAGATACTTATAATACCCAGTACAATGTAAATGCTATGTAAACAATTCTTACACTGTATTTTAAATTTGTATTACTTTATTGTTATTTTTCCTGTTTATATTTTTTCAAATATTTCACTCCACAGTTGGTTGAATTGTGGTTGTGGAACCTGCAGATACAGAGGGTTAACTGTATGAATAAAATTCTGGTCAGCCCAGCCAGGCTGCAATGGCCACCTGGAGGACAACGTAAGCTGTTTCCCTTGCGCCTCTAGGCCAGGGCCTAGGGGACTCGGCCTGGAATGCTGTGTGGCAAGAGGGAGAGAATGAATTCTCATTTATTCTCTGTGGATTGTGTTGCCATCCAGGCCACCTCCCTTCACCACCCAGTTTGGCTACGCTTAATTATGTGCAAGCTAATACTCCCATTAATTGAAGCCAAAGGCAGAAAGATAAATAGGTCTCACCCCACAATTCATAAAAAGAAGAAAGTACTTTAATGGGCATGTCTGAGAATGGGCAATCAGGTGGTGAAAGGGTTTAAGGTCACAGAATTTGGGCTGGGTTTGTTGTTTTTGAAGGTTTATCTCTATGGAGCACAGGTTAGACCAGTGCTTCCTTCAGCCCAATACACCAGAAAGAAAGAGGGAAAATATCCTCCTTTTCACTAAACTTCAGATACCTCTGGGTCCAGGCCACCAAGAACAAACCAATAGGGGTTTTTACTGGATTGAAGGGTTGACTATCTTAGTAGTTTCAGCTACCTCCACATTGCTGAAACTGGTGCTGCATTTGTACCACATTCCCTTAAGCTCCCCTTGAGGGGAGGGAGAGTTTCCAACTTCTCTTTCCTCAAGGACAGCTTGTGTTAGATGAGTTTTGGTTTTTGTTTGGAAGAAAAGCAGCTCCCAGAACTCAGTGTGGGAGGGAAGGACCATGCGAGTAAACCACATGCAAACTATTTCCTGCTGCTTTTGACAAGATGAAAATCCCTATTTCAAGACTAGACAGAAAATATGTTGTGCTGCCTTTGCCTTGGTACTCCTTTTACATCCATCTAAATCCCTGCAATTTAATAGAAATCAAGCATTTAACTGAAATTTTCTTTCATGTGGTGTTTCCCTTCTACTTAATGCAAGCCACCTCTGAGGTGGTTAGGGCTTTAGGATCACAGCTCCCTCTCCAAGAGGAAAGTTAAGAGAGATCTGGCAAATTGCATGGCCTCCAAACACACACCATGGTACTTGCCTAGTTATTTGTTGTAATCATAAGGAAAAAAAAGATTAAATTATGTTTTTACCCGTCTCCTTCTACTGTTCCTTTATGGTGGGCAAAATGGTTGAATACGAGTTCTTCATGGGCAGCCTGCACTTTTTGGGGATCCACAGTGTACAGACCTCCCCGCTAGATATTGTGAGGCAAAGACAAAGGGAATGGTGGGGTGATTCTCCTCTTTGACTAAGATTTCTTGAGGTTGGAGGCTTGCCTCATTCATCTTTGCTTCCTCAGAAGTTTCCTAAAGGAGTGAACAAATGGCTGTATTTGGGGAACCTTGTCAATTGCTAGAGAGTGGTTTGGTACCTTTTGGCTGTCTGGAAGTTTGAGAAACCCACCTGGCTTGTTCTTTCCATCTTAAGGATGGCAGCACCGCGCTCTCAATAGCCCTGGAAGCAGGACACAAGGACATCGCTGTTCTCCTCTATGCCCACGTCAACTTCGCAAAAGCCCAGTCTCCGGTCAGTGTTGTACATTGGCATTTGTAAATAGGCTGAAATCTACCAGCCTGGCAGACCCTCATCCTTGGGAAACTGACAGGCACAGGTTTTATGTTGATTCTGAAAATGGAAGTTTTAGCCTGGAGCTTAAGCGTTTGTTGTGTCTGCCCCACCATGAAGGCCAGGAGAGCTGGTGTTTAGCAGATGCTGTGCTTGTCTGCACAGAATAAAAACCTCTCACATCCTCACATGGAGGTTTTTATTCTGTGCAGAATTATTCAAATGGCACATCCCGAGCCCATGGCCACATATCACCATGGTCTTGGCTTTGTTCCTAAAGCAGACGGTGGGCAGCCCGCAGTCCAGAGTTCGCTCTGGGCAGTTAACTTGGATATGGCACTGCTGAGACCAGCTGACGTTGGAGCCATGCCTGGGGCTGTGGACATCTGTCCCCCATTCTTGGCTAGAGCTCTCAAGGCTCTGGGTCACAGGTGGTTTTTGGCTATGAGGGACCATGCTCCTATGTCACAGGGGATACATCTGCCTGAGGTCACTTACTAATCCCCAATATTTTTATTTTCCTGGTCTCTAGGGCACGCCTAGGCTTGGAAGGAAGACGTCTCCAGGTCCCACCCACCGAGGTTCATTTGAATGATTACGTGCAAATCGGTCTCCATTTACACGCCACCATTAAGCTGCTAATTGTTCCTCTTGGGTTGACAGATACTGAATGTATATGTATTGTGCCTGAGCTCACCAGCAAACAGAAGCATAAAGCTGAGGGCTAAAGGCTGAAGCTTTCACAGTGCAGAGACTGCTGGCCTGGGCACGCCTCCTTTCTGGCCATCTTCTCTCTGTGTAGGGCACACTTTAATCCAGTCTCTGTTGCTGTCAAGTCTCTGCTCCGTTATGTACAGTCGTGGGAAATTGTAACCTGACCTGAATGGGCACCTTCTGTTCACTTCTCTCCACTCCCCCACCACCACTAAGAAGTGTCAGGTTCTCACTGACATCGTGTTTTAAAATTTTTCCACAAATATTTACTAAATGTGGAATCATTAGAAATCTCTTCCAAAATTCCATTCCAAGGTGATGTTCCTTTTGTCTGTATTCTTTTAAAGTAAGGAAGTTGCGATGACTTTGACTATCAGCAACTTGGGCTGGTAGTTTCTGATTTAAAAATAGAAGATGGAATTCTCAAAGTATAGAACTTATAAAAGGAAGTATTTTTTAATTGGTTTTATCTAGGTGGATGTATTATACGACTTTTTATATAAAAGGTGTCTATGAAATTGACAGTTATTTTCAACTTTTATATTCTATAGTAATTAAAGACATGAAGAAACTATATGTAACATTACCATATTTTTATTAATAATGGCACAACTATGTATCTATTGATAAAAGTTGGATTGTGTTAGAGGAATTGGCTATTATTTGCCTCTAGAGAAACATAGTATATAGTTCTTTGTATTTATGGATTGATTCCTTCATACCAGGTCACATTTACTTTGGTCCTATATGTATTTAAATGTTTGAAGTGCCTTAGACTCTTGCCATATTTCCAAAATAAAATTTCATTAAGCTTTTTTCCTTGTCCCTGCTTCATCTCTGACAGCTGTCTGCCCTGATCCTGTTGACTTATAACAGTGTCAGCAAACGCTGATGGATGGACTGAGCAGGGAGGGCAAGTGTGTGGTCTACTGGTCTTGGACTCAGGGCTCCAATAGGGAGGAGGTATCTGCTGAGAGCACTTGTCCATTTCCACAGCTTGGCCTGAGACTCGGGTTGCAAGTCAGGAGGCTGAAATTTGAGACCTTATTAGGCAAACAGCTTATCAGACAGGTAACCTCCAAGGGGAGCCTCTGAGTTGGCTCTTCTCAGGTGCAGAAGCAATCCTTAGCTCTAATTTTGGGTGCAACTGCTGGGTGACTTGTTGAAATGTATAGCAACAAGAAAGCCAAGATAAAGCTGAACAGACCTTTTATTTCAGCATGCTGTTGGCCAAACAACACCTGTTTTCAAGTTCTTTTTAAAGAGTAAAGAGAATTGGGACCATCTCATTAAAATGGACAAGCACGACAGCCAAAATTCAAACTAAGTGTTTTGGCACGGATGCTGGTGATAAATTTTGACCAAGGCCATTTGGGAGAGCCAGGTGCATCAGAGAAATATCATTGAAACTTTTCTTTCCCTCCTTTCTTCCCTCCTTTTTTAATTTGAGCTAAAAAAGAGGCCAGAGAGTAGACTTTTCTAATAGGTATTTCATCTTAATGCCTGTTTCAATCTTTCAGAGAAGAGCTTGGGGAGCAGCACTGAAGAGTGGCATTGGCAATGCAGGCAGACCTGGGCAGTGACAGACTGATCTCCCAAGACCACAAGGGACTGTACTCTGCCATGAACTGTGAAAATGAGGTCATAGCCACCTGGAGTCATAAGCCTCTCTTTCCCTCTCAGGACAGATCTGGTAGCTCTGGGATTCGAACTAAATTTCAGTTCAGGTAGTTATTCAAGCCCAAGTTCCTACACATCCAAAATGGCACAATAAATTAAAGCAGAAGAGCGTGTGTTTGTGAAAAGAAGTAGAGCCCTGCGTTATCTGTTCCTTAACAGCAAGACATGCCTTTTGAGCAAAAAGAACTATATCGCAGGTAGATTTCAGGCCTGGGAATTTTCTTTGTTCCATCAGAGAAAAGAAAGGCATTAATATTAATGCATTAGAAAATGAATCCCTACGTCTGAGTGCTACACTTTAGATTTCTTGGGCTAAATTTTGAAAAAGAAAATGAGTCTTATTTTACCTTTGAGTGAGGTCTTACACAATTATGTATCTAACCTCCGGGTAACACACACTGGCTTGTGCCTTGTTTGCTTTAATAACATGGGGGAGTTAGAATGCTTTTTATCTTGGGATCTTGGCACACTATATAAACAAGCCTGATTATCCCATTGGTATAGCTGTGATTTATTGTGACTCCATAACTGGGCAAGGTCCCCAAGTGAGGCTGGCATAGGGCTGGAGACCCCTAATCTTATTATCCAACTTAAGTTAACAGAAGGCTATACCTTTAGGTGACAGTGAACCAATTTCCCAGAGACCTTGCCCTGGAAGTTGAGCAGCTGAAGGCTGGAATCTACCCCAAAACAACAGGAATGGAGCAGTAATGTTCAGAAACCAAAACTAACAACTTGCCCTGCCACTATTATGACTAAACTGATGACTAAACCTCTCAACCTTTCACTTACACAGGTAGGGAGTTGAGGGAGGAAGGTATTTCTGGAGAAATTCACTGGAAACACTTTACCTAACACTGGTCCCAAAATAAATGAAGTGTTTAGCCCTTTCCTGTAAGTTATCAATATTCTGAGGACAATTTTATCTCTGATGTTTGTAATACTGAAATATTGCAGATGCGTGACAATTTCTGCAGATGGAATCAGGTAAGAAAACTGCTATTTCTCCCTCAAAAGGAAATAATGAATGACCAACCATAACCTTTCTCTAAACCCTGGTATGTCCTTTTTTGGGGAGCCTGCTACCAGTAAAAATACTTTTATGATGCTTTTGTGCTAGCTCTCCCTTCACAGCATTTGTAAGAACTTTGAGAGGGCTGGGGGAAATGCAAATTTCGAGGGTAACCTAAAGATTCTGATTCTTTATATCTGGGGACCTTGCATGGTTAACAAGAATCTCAGGTGTTTCTCAATGTGTCCTTTGGTCCACACTGAGGAGTTGTTACTCCCAAATTATGAGACACTATACATCTGTTTTTTTCCCCAAACAGGCAGGGTGAGGAAACTGTATCAAAACAAGAAATATTATATGTTATCTCTAATGTATCAGGAGCTTGTCTTTTGCTGTTGATCAAAACACTAAATTCTGACCTACAGAGGACAGGAAAAAGATACCACACAGTCTTTGTGTGCTGTTTATCCATGTTCAGTAGCATTTCTGCATCTACCTGGAGTACTTTCTAGAAGGCTAGGATCTATTTTACTGTGCTTACAGAGAGCAGGGGACAGCTTAGCACAAAGATGACAGCAGCTGAACAGGCAGTATTTGGAGTATTTTCCCAAGTTGATCTTTTCCTTCCCTACTTCCTCATGGAGCTGGACTGTTACTGCTTAGGAAAAAGGCCATGAACCATTTCTTTGGCATTGGAATAAAGATAGTTTTCCATTTTCTTTTTTATCAAAAGCACAATTTTTTTAAAGCCCTGGGCTTTAGCCAGAAACTATTTAATTCTACTTTCTGCATAAGGAAATTGCTAATCATATGTTTACTCTGCTCTTACTCAACATGGCTATAATTTAAAAGCCAGCTGCTTATAAAAGCATTGTTAAAGTACACTTTGTTGAAAGTTATTACCACAAAAGGATGTGGCTGACCCACTGGCTGCGACACTCAAGCCACTGGCTATTCCTTATGGGTGGAATTGGACAACTGCACTCCGCTTTCATAAAGCTTATAACAGCATCCTTGAATACCTATCCTGAAATCTGGTATGGATTTCACAAAGTTGGAAAACAAAATACCATTTTTTTAAATGGGTGCATGCTTACACAGAAATGTCTGTTTTAGAGGATATTCGAGGAGGAACTGGCATTTTAGGAACGCAGCTGCCGCTGCCTCTCCAGTAAGACCTTTGATGATTTAATAGGCAAGAGGATAGGAAATCTATCCCTCATTTTCAGGTAGTGGAAGCTGTAGACGAAATATTCCTGTTCCTAAGACCAAATACCACAATCTTCCAAGTTTTACACTTGTTCCCCAGCTCAGAAAGAACCAGTTTACCTAGCCCTAGCACCACCTGGGAGGGTGAGGCTCTATGATTGAGAGGAAGAGAAACATACCTGAGTTGCAGATGAGCAGGAGCTACTTTGCCACCAGTGGTACTGGGCAGCTTCATGCTGTGTAAAGGTTGGTGGTAGGAGATCAAGTGTCTGCTAGAATGTCACCCAGCAGCTATACTAACATGGATGGGAAGTGTACATACGAAGGTCTCTTGAGAAAAGGGAGCTTTCAACTTTGTTCAAGTGAGCAGCCCAGTGATACACATAGTCCCCAAATCACTTCTATTTATTTTGTAATACATATTTTTACTTTTAGTGTGTGACTGGTATAGAATTCACAGTACTCAGTCTACTTGCACACTAGAAGAAAAATTTTTTCCTCAAGCCAGTGTCTTATTATGAAAACAGAAAAACTTTGAACCAAAAAATGATACTTTCTGATTAATGAAAAATTGTTATTTTTATTGCTTTCTATGTCTGAGTTATATGCAATTAAATTCAACTGTAACAAGAACATCAACAAGATTTTCACAACCATATGCTTACATATTTTTCACAAGGCCCCGGCTCAAAACAGCATGAGTTAAATACAACTCACATGGCAGTTAATGTTTAATGAGATACATTGTGAACATCTGATTAGAATACGCAAGAAACTGTCCAGTTTTCCTGAACTTGTCTGTCCAGTGTTTTCTACTCTGCTTTGGGGATTTTGGATTAATGCGAGAAGAATTCAAACAGATTGATCCTTTTCTTTCTCCTCTAAGTTGCTTGTTCCCTATTTTAGGCTGTGTTAGGGTATAACTGTTTCCATCTTACAGGAAGGAATTCAAACTTCTTCCCTTCACTTTCCAGACATTAAATAGAGCTGGCGATAATGTCAGCCCAGTTATGTTTAAACAGAAGTGGATAATTCCAGCAGGGAACTGGAATAGGATTGCAGTATTACTTCTGAAAGGAACAATTAATATTACTCTTTGGAAATTAGAGTGGATCAAACATCTTGGCAAATTAAATGATATTAATCATCTTCTTTATTACTTAATTATTGCTTGCCATTATACACTGAGACTGGCTCTATAAATATGAATCTAATGCTTCACCATTTGTGAAGCTTCAAAGAGCACGTGTACTTATTGCTTCTGTAGCCTTCTTTCCATTTTTACATAAAAATATGCACTTTAAAAACACCATTATGCACTTAGTATTGCAGTTGCTTGGGATTTAAGGTAAATTTCATTGATACCTTTTCTACTCCTTTATGTAAAAAACATTCTAAATGTTTTAACTGGTCACCATAAATGCTGCTTACTAACATTTACATTCATAGAAAGTGCTGAAAAACTTTAATGCCTAAAGGATAATTCCCCTGAAGGACTCCTTAAGAATTACAGGAATGAGAAGAGGTCTGTCACTGCGTCGTCCAGCCTGGCTGTTTCTTAGAGGACTTCATGCATTCACTCTCAGACCACAATCCTAGAGCTAGATGTTATGTGACTGGAATTCTGCTTCTACAGACGCTGCACTGAATCAGAGTTATAAACTCAGGATCTCAGAATGAGTATGTTTGGATAAGTAGATACAACATACTCAGTGTTCATACACAAGCCTTTACAAACCCTTCTTTCTCCTGTGCTCTCAATGTCTGCTTCACTCCAAAACAGTGATTTCCTAAATACAGCTGAATGCCTAGATTATATAGTTTATTCTCCAAAGAAGCCATTACTTAGAACAGCCTCACAGACATCAGATTGTTGCAGTTCAATCACCAGACGTGCGTAGAATTTACTGTCAT